GAGTAGTTTTTTAATTAGTAATAAATATAAGATTATTTTATTTTGTGTTTAATTTGAGGTATTAGGCAGTTTTAATTAATAATGAGATAAGTTATTTCATATATATGTTGAAATAAGTTATCAAGAATAATCTAATTTGGGACAATCAAAATAATTTGTTTCCAATCGAACGAGGTGACGAAACTAATGTTGGGTTTAAATAGAGTTCTCCACTAATTTCCAAAACAAGAAACAACTAGCAGTAGTAGTAGTACATAGTGACTGTCTTATCAACAATACTAAAGTGTCCATCACTGTTCTTGGCTACCCTTTCACTTTGAGGGACCCTTCAAAATCTTCTTGTTTTTATCTTCCAAAATTTGGACTTTGGGGCTCATCACAAATCCCTCAATAATGCTTCAATTCAAGAAGAAAATTGTATCTTTTCTTGTTCAGAAACTTTGCCAATAACAATAAGTTATCTCTGTTTAAGTGATGGAAGTACCTACTAGAATTGAAAAAATAAGCAAACCCAGTCCAAGAATCTCTGTTTGGTCATCACCCACAAACCGTCCTCCTGGTGTTGTTCTGTAATTTTGAAGTGGGTGTTTTTCTTGCTGCAAAAAAGATGGATTTTTTAAGTTCTTTTAATGGGTTGAATGAGGTTTATGGGGGGTTTCAGGGTATAATAGGAAATGGGTTGTCATCATCTTCTTCATTGGTTTTGGATAATGAGAGTGGTCAGCTTGTGAAGGCAATGGTGAAACCAGGGGGAAAAGGGGATAATCAAGAAAAAGCTTTGATTGCTTTGAAGAATCATAGTGAAGCTGAAAGGAGGAGGAGGGAGAGGATTAATGGTCATTTGGGTACTCTTAGGAATCTTATACCTGGCACTAATAAGGTAAATTTTCAGTTTATTTTGGTTGGTTTTGTTTCAAGAATCAAACTTTGTCTACTGTTTGTTGTTTTTGATAGCTGTTAACATCTGTTGTCTTTTGTGCTGTTGGTACTGTTCTTTTTCTGAATGACCTGTACTGCTTTCTGTATTAATTGACTTGTTTTCTCCACTGCTGTATTTCCTTTTTCCTAGCTACTTTGATTTACAAGGGTGTTTCGGAAACAATCTCTCTTACCTCTGTGATGCATGGTTAAGGTCTGCTTACACTGAAACTTGTGAAGCCCATTGGCTAGCTCATAAGTAGATTGAGCAGAATTACAATTAGTCCCAACGTTGTCTTTTGGTGAAATTAATTCCATAATGAGTACTGTTTTACCCACTTCAACTCCCTTGGAAAGTCGGATTTTTCTTCCACTGATGTGTGGTTGGTAAACAAGGATCGGTTTTTTAGCAAGGTATAGAATGTACCGTCAAATATTTTAATATGATTACACAAGATGTAGTTTTGTTCAAGTAACGGATTCTAGCTAACTGAAAGGATCTTCTAATCAATCTAGAGATCATATTTGGGTAAGTAGAAGAGGAGTCTATTGTGTTGTTTACATACTACGCTTTGAATGTCAAGCGATTTCTTTGAATGGTTGAATAGTTCTTTTTTTCTTTGGACTGAATTGTTAATATTGCTTAGCAACTTTGGCTACAACAATTTACCCAATTAATAATAGAAGTATTTTGAAATGGCATGACACCTGATTTAGCAGTTGAGTCCTTGCAATGAATTCATCAGGTAACACTCGAGCTTTATTATGATCTCTAAACATCCTAAGCTCTGTAACTTGTCGCCATAGGGATATTGGGCTTATCGATTCTTGGAAGAATGGATGCCACTAATTTTTTTTGATAAGCAATATTGTATAAATGGTTTTAGAATTTGGTTTTGCATGAAACATAGGTTTAAAGTATGTCAGACTATAATGAAGCAACTGTAGATAGAAGAAGAGGACTAGTTTCACTGTTAGAAGTGCTCGAACTGTTAAGTAAGAAGGAAAATTCTTTCCCCCTGTTAGTTTAATCCAGCGTTATATGCATTTCTTTACATTTTAGAGGGGCAAAGGTGAGATACTTCACCTTTTGATGACGGTGAAGTTAATTTTGGTTCCATCACTATTTCACATGTCCTTTGAAGTGTTTTGAGTTTAATTCTAGCTAAATTGCGCATTTCTATTATAGATGGACAAGGCTGCTTTACTTGCCAAAGTCATCGGCCACATAAAAGAATTGAGAGTAAATGCAGCAGAAGCTACCAAAGGTGTTCTAGTTCCAACAGACATTGATGAAGTTAAAGTTGAACAACAAGCAGAGGGATCTGACGGAGCCACTTATTCTGTCAAGGCATCTTTGTGCTGTGACTATAAGCATGAGCTTATTTCTGATCTGCGACAAGCTCTGGATACTCTCCCCCTAAAGACTCTAAGGGCAGAGATTGCTACGCTAGGGAGCAGAATGGTTAGCGTTTTCGTGATTACTGAGGGCAATGAAGGGAATATTGAGGATACTGAAAGGTGCCAGCTTCTTATAACTTCTGTTCGTCAGGCTTTGAGGTCAGTGCTTGATAAATTTTATGCATCCGAGGAATTCTCTTCGAGAAGTACACTATCAAGCAAGAGACGAAGAGTTTCATTTCTCAATTCTTCGAGCTCATCTTCTTTAGGGGATTTCTGGTGAATAATGTGTCTTATTTACTGCATTTATTTATCAACTATATAATGTATTACGTAATGATCTCACGGGCTAATGGCATACGTCTTAGCATGCATATCCTCTGATAAAATGGATATGCATGCTGCTACATATGTCTTCCCTTTGTAAATGGAGAACGTGTTGCACTAAGTTGCAACCAGTAAAAATATAAGCAAAATTATTCTGATGTAACCGTTCCTTCGCTTTCATGATGTTGCTGTCCAGAAAATTTATATACATATGTTGCAGATTCCTCTAAAGACACCAGTTGTGCATGTGTATTGCTATGAGACATTTTCTATTTGTTCATTCTAAATTAGTTAACCTTATTTATGTTCATATTACTTTAAAGAAAAAGAGCGCGACTGCCTCCAGATTGGAATCTATCTAATAGTGTATTAGCATCATACAATTTGGAAGGTAGTAATAACATTTTTCTTGCTAATACTAACTATGAACATGGAACTTGCTGGAAACTGGAAAGTATTGAATCTTTAGTTATCTATTGCCTATTTAAGGATGGTGTTTGATTGATACTCCAACACAAGTGCTATAATGTATTTAATGTTGGCCTGTGGCATGCCTTGTGGGTTCATGGAGCTCTTTCTTTTTCTTATTTTGTTTTCCTGTATATAATCCTTCAGTATTTGAAGTCCATTAGCCTGTCTAATCTGGATTTGCGACAGATTGGCCTACTTAAGGGGGTGTAAACTAAAGAATGGGAGCTGTCGCGGCCTTAGAAGGTTAGAGTGTTGAATAGTGTAGATATGACCCTTGGACTTAACTATAAAAGCTAGCTCATAAAGGAAGGTTTGCCCAAGTCTATTTATGTCGTTATTTTTTTTCTTTTAATTTTTCCAACAATAACACCAATCAATTACTATGCCTCAATCCATCCTAAACACTTGGAAGTCCGTTATATGAATCCTACACTGTTCATGTCTTTTCATTTAAACTCATCTCAGACCAATAAACTCATCCCAGGCCCAAGTTGTACAACATTTTATAATTAGATTATTCTGCGCATAGTTCCTTCAAATTATGTAATGTAACAAATTTTACACTATCACTTTATAATTAAAGCGAGCGTCCATTTACAACAAATAAGTGGTAGATTTTTATATAACGGACATATGACTAGCTAGCATTTATTGATTTGACATAAATATTGGATTTGGACAACTTTTTTCTCCTATCAAGCCTATTCTACATTACCATATGCTACCAAACTAGAGATTTTGTAGTTCTTAACTTACATACATTAACAATGTAATGTAACAAAATTTACACCATCACTAGTTTAAACAGTTTGTATAAGATACTACTCAACCTCTTTTTTATGTTACCAACTGACTTTATTTTACCAAATTACTCATAATTGACTTTTAAATAACCTCACAGTGTAACATTTTTCACAATGGTTAGGACATAAAGTTAAAAACCTTCCTAATATTACTAGGTCATTTCATTATTTTTCATGTTAAGGTGTGAGGTAGAGGCTGTATTTTGTCCTAAAGTTGGCCTGAGGAAGCTTGTCAGGCAAATTAAATTTGAGATTTGAACACAAAAACCCACTAATCGAGCTGAACTGGTTAGTGATGGAAGCATTTCCCACGAACCGAGAACAGAAGGATCATGTAGGCTGATAACCAGAGTAAATAGTGTCAAATTGAGGGTTGACAAATGACAGACAAAAAAGAGGGTTGACAAGTAACAAGTTGAGTATAAAAAATTCTTCCAAGTATGAGAAGATCATCCTCTGTGGGCCTATTGAGTCTTTATTTTAGTAAAATTGTTCCATGAATTATTGGACTAAGTACATTGCTTCTTAGAATGTTGTCATCCAATTATATGTGAGACGTCAACAGGTCAGACAGCTCTAAGGTTTTTTATATTCTGTGAAAAGTAGGCTGAAACTCTGCATTTGAAGACAGTAGGCTGAAACTCTGCATTTGAAGACTTTGTCAAGTCTTTTGCTGCTATAAAATATGCGAAAAATGAAGTGTTCCTCTCAATAGTCAATATAAAATGGCAAATGCTGCAATGTGTTATGCTTTAATATTCCTTTTGGCTACTACTACTAGACAAGTTGAGCCATCAAGTGTATCTTTACCTTGCAACTGCTGTATATATGACCTCATTTTTGCCATATTTTAACTCAAATGATGATTTTTGTGCTCTCTTTTTCGCGGCTGGTAAGCAAGTTGGAGTTGGAAACAACTCTTCTTGATTTTGAAAATGGAAAGGGATAGGGAAGGTTTCATTTGGAACAACAAATTTGCATGGAAAAAGATCTGAAAATGTTGCAAGAATATGAAGAAAACAAACTAATGTACTTAGATTTTCATAGATAAAATTAAAGGAATTTTGTTAGTCATTCTTTTCAACATTTGTTTCTGATAGATCTATACCAGAGAATCAGAAAGCTTAAAAACCTGTAACAAAAGATGAAACTCAACATAATAGCTATGTTAGACCACTTCTGTGACTCCTCCAGACCGTATCGTGTCAACAACTGTTCACCATACATTAGACACACTCCATCAACTTTCTGTATGCATTTCAGTTTCCCACTCTCTCCTCCATACTCATTAATCAAGAAACATTCGAACGGATACTTAAACAGACTCAGATAGTGCACAAATAGCCAGAATATAGGAATTGACTCCTTCGATATAAAGTACCCTGAGAAAAGGAAAAATGCACCTATTAGGCAACCGATAAATGACATTCCAAGGAGGAAATTTGGCACTAGTGCAGAACAGGCTGCCACAAATGAATTCCCCATCGCGAAAATCATCCAGGACACCAGAGTATAGTACGCGAATGCACTGAATTCGTACTTTAATCCTACTAGCCAGTATACTGGTATAGCATAGAGAAGAGCCACTATGAAAAGGAAAGGAAGGAATACTATAGTGTTAGCTATATTGTAGGTGGAAATTCTGTAGGCTCCTCTAGATGTTTCCCTCATTAGGATTCGCCTTTCTTCTAAGAAAATCGGTAGAGCTTCCGTGTTGGATGACAGCAAGAATGTGAGACTAAAAGCAAAGAATCCAACTTGAGATTGCAGCTCCAAATTCTTGGTGTTGTTGTTATAAGCATTGAAAAATATTGATCCCAGAATTAGCCCCACAAGTAATGCTTGGATCACCTTAGCCAAGAAAAGTTGTTTTGTCCTGAAGATGTTCCTGCAGAATCTTTGGCTCAGAATTAGTACTTCTTTCAGTGGAGAATTGGAGTAGAGAACTTCCTTATTGGTGTTTTTGTTAAGCACATTAACACTTTCTTGTTCTGTTTCACATTTTTCAATGTCACTTTGATCTCCAGAATGCAGGCATTCTGCAAGGCTATCTGTTATATCGATAGCGAATTCAAGAACATTGACATGATGAGGAATGAAATGTCCTGTGGACTTAAGTTTCTCTTCAAGAAGATGCAAAGATCCATTGTGAAGGACAAAGCCATTTGACAGCAACACAGCTTTATCGAAAAGTTCAAGAATTCGAAAACCAGGCTGATGGATGGTTAGTACAATTGTCTTACCATGATTCTTAGCCATTGATTTTAACAGATGCATTACATGAAAAGCTGAAGCAGAATCAAGACCTGAAGTTGGTTCGTCGAGCAAAACAACAGCAGGATCATGGACTAATTCAACTCCAATCGCCACTCTACGCTTCTCACCACCTGAAATAGTCCTGCTTGATTCTCTCCCAACTTTTAAACCAGCAACATGGTCCAAACCAAGCTCATTCAACAGCTTTTTCACTCTGTCTTTGGCCTTATCATCCCCTGCACGTAGCCTGAATCGCGCACTATACATCAAAGTCTCTTCAACAGTGAGAGGAGGGAATAAAGCCTCATCTTGTGTCACATAGCCTGATATTCTCCTGAAATTTGCAGGCTTCATAGGCTGATCATTAACAAGAACATGACCAGAAACACATGATGGACCAACATTTCCTGCTAGAATATCCAACAACGTCGTTTTTCCCGCGCCACTTGGACCAACAACTGCTGTAATTTCTCCTGGTTTGGCTTCACAACTCACATTCCTTAGTATATAAGTACTAGTTTTGTTGTTGTTAGCCAACTTTTTGCCTATCCATTTAAACTCATTATATTTAGGAGGTAATTTGTAGGAAAGATTTCTAGCTTCAATTTTGTATCTATCAGAATTTGATGTCTTCACAGGTAAAATTTCCATTGGGAAAAAAAGATAGAAAAGTAGTTTTTAAAGTTGAAAGTGAATAAGAAAGTAGATGAGCTAACTCAAGAAAATGGGCTCTATTTTATAGTACTTGTTAGACAGTAAGCTAATGTGAAACTATTTGCATGCATGCACTAAGTATGACATAAAGTGGCTATAATATACACATGAATTGTGTAGGGCATGGCAATGCAAGTCATGAAGTTGGCTCATTTTGACAGTTTCAAAATATATTTGCAACTGATCAAATCACCATCATAAAAAATTCCATATAAATTGAAAATATTTGTAATAGTATGTAGTCGCTCGTACATGCGATCTAATCTATGAAAAACATAATCCCTCCATTTCTATTTATATGTTATTTCACAAAAACCATGTATAAATGATCCTTTTTTTTTCTATTTTACCATTAAGATTTATTAGCCTTGAAAATATGCATTTGATCAACATAGGGAAACTAAATAATTAATTGTTCATTGGTCAAATTAATTAATCAAAATAAATTAATTCATGTTCATTTATTGAAAACTTGACTTCAAGAGTATACTAAATAAGGGTACAATAGTAAACTTACCTAGTTTCTTAAGGGACGTAAAACTTAAAATGATGACAACTAAATAGGAACAGAGGCAGTATTTGATTGTATGTTTTAGGTAAATTAGTCAAGTTAGGTGATTTTGCTCGTCTTTAGAATTTGGAAGATATAAACTATATTCGGGAAAAAAAGTATTCAAATTTTAAATATTCTTTACAAAAACTACGACCAAACACACTTCTACTCTAATTCCAACTTAAGAATTCCAAAAAAAAAAAGCGAATAATATTTGGTTTTCATAGTCAAACGTCCACTCAGTAACTCAGTTAGTTGACTATTTAAATTTTTACATTATTGGTGAAAGTTCGATTCTCTGTAAATTTTTTTAATTTTTTTTAATTTTTTTTAAAGGGAGTTTGGTAATTTTGTCTGGATCACTATTATTATTTGCCAAATTTTCAGGACTGACAAAATGAATACTGTTACATAAATGAATATCCCTTAAAATAGAAGAGTTGGTGTTACCAATGACATAGGATAAGGTAAGAATACCATTAATATCCCACTCATTTATTTTGGTATGGGGTCAGATTTTACAATTGATAAAGTCAGCACATGAGAAAATTTCTACTTGCAGTTACAAAATATTTTACTGAGCAAAACATGTATCATGTACCAAGATTTTACATACATATTTAGTGTGACTTGTTCTCTTTTAGATTTGGTGTTTTATTGTGTACTACATTTGTAACTGTTTGGCTGAGTTGTGTACTTGTGTTGTGATGGGCTTTGCATGTGATTGTAAATTGTTTGATTTGTGCAACATGAACAGTTAGGTAAATGATAGAAAGGACACGAAGTTTATTTCGAATTCACGCATTGCAGGATTCATTTTTGGAGACTACGTTTTCATGACAATACATTGTTACTACTATATGCTTTAACATACATATGGTTTATAGTACAGTTATACTCTTTTTTCCCTAACCATAGTGTATTGGAGTATTCTCGATTAACTCAGATTCACATATTTCAGGACCTATTTCTGGAGATGGCGCTTTCGATAGGATTTTTTTCATGCTTCTTTACATACATGATTTATACAATTACACTCTTTTTTTCCTTAACCATGCATAGAGTATTGGAATTAGGAATCGAGCGCCTACATGTAGGTTCGGCTGAACTCAGTAGATTTTGTTCAAATAGTGTATTTGTATTAATAAATTCATTAAATATATTAAATTTAGAACCCAATTATTATCACTTATAATCGTCATTATAAAATTCAGAATCCATAAAATTAAAATCCTAATTTCGCCTCTAAATTTAGAATACCTCTCACCCCACCCCCACCCAAACCTTTTGACTTCTTGAGTAACCAAATTGCATTACGATTATGATTTCAACTTGCATCATTTAGCTGCTTAATTTGACTGTTAAACTTATTTTTAACTAGTTTAATCAAACAATAACTATATAAAATTAGCGTTTTCAAACTCTTTTGACATAGAATGTTACAACTTAAGAGTTAACCATCAACCCTCCTTGCCGATTAACGACAAATTCAGAATTTTGAGTTTATAAATTATAATTTTTTTATATAAAATTAATTTACTAGACACTGATTAAATTAAATAAATTTCTTAACACAAATACAAAATATTAACTAAAAATATCAAGTTTTACGAAATTCCTTTAACTAAAACTCTAGCTTCGCCCCGCTCTGTTGTCAACCCCCACTGCTTGTAACAAAAAAATCATAATACAAGGAGATATTTGCCTTTTTTTTCAACCTTTAGAAAGTGATAGATATCACATTAAAAGTTGAGTAGTTGAGCGTTTACACAAATACTAGATAAGAATAAAACTAGTTTTTTTTGTTTTGTTTTGAAGATTAATAATAATTAAAGTACTATTTTTTATTCTCCTAAGATGATACAACACACAACTGTCAATTCACTACTGCATTTTGGGAGTAGCTCTTGTTAGTTATGTTCTTATATACTCTGTTCATCAACTTTTATTTGTCATGTTGCGTTTTTCGAAAGTTAATTTGATTAATTTTCAAAGTTAAATTAGATTATATTAATTCGATATTTTTAACAAAAAATTTAGCTATTCAAAAACTATATATAATATACTATAAATTTCAATTTGCATATCAATATGATAAAAAAATATATCGTAAAATGTTAATCAAAGTTTTTATAGTTTGACTCTAAAAAACGAAACTATGAAAATTAAAAATGAATGGAGGTAGTACATAGTTTGTTATAAATTACTCTATATGCTTTGAGATATTGATTTTAATATCTTGGAAATTGATTTTTTTTCTTTTATATGCATCATTTCAGCTGCCAACGCCCGTTTGATTAAATATGGAGAGAGAGGGGGAAATATCTTAAGACTATTTGGTTAATTTTGTTGTTAGGGTGAAATAACTTTTTATAATGGCGGAGTCACGAATTCTAATAAGGATATTCAAAACAAAAAGAAATGTCAAAAGAATTTAATAATTTATATGAAATTCCAAAAATAAAAACATAAAATTCGAAATGGTATTTTTATAAAAAAGTAAACGCCGATATCAAGAATGGAATACAAACCCTCCAACAAGTTTTGCAACACCTTAATCACTACACTAAACTTTCAAGATGTGTCAACACTTGTAAATATATTCATTAAATTAAATTTTGACCTATATATATATAATGTAAATTATCCGACAAAGGGGTATCGCTCGACACCCCTTGCTCTAGGGTAGATCCGCCCCAGTTTGAATGTACTGACGTGAGACTCCAACATATTGTACTGGACCATCTCAAATATTGTAAATCACATGATCATGGGAAATTCACACGTAGAATAAAGGGCTAAAAACACCTAAAGTATTTCATTCTTTCTATTTCTAAACTATCATGTATTTACTTTTTCTATCTGATTTATTAATAACTATTTATCGAAACACACCTTAGCATATATAAGTTGTTCCTTTATCCTATCTATATTGGAAAAGTGAACAATTAATAATAGGATGTATTTCGATAAACATTTGGTGATAATCCATGTATAAAACTCAAAAAAGTCAAAATATTTTAAGTGTGTTTTTGACTCGTCACTATTGTAACATTTTTTAATTTAGGACCAAAAATTATGCGAGGGCTTTTTACGAACTAATATGTTAACGAAAGATATTCATAAACAAATCAAATATGATAAGGATATTTTGGACCTTTTCCTTTAATTATATTATCTGAATTTCAGTACTAAACTAATTTGAAGTCGGTCATATGAATTTTCATATTTATTTTCCTGCCATTTGCCTTTATCTACTTTCCAGTAATCGTATAACCTAAAGTTTTTAAAATCTAAGTTGATCAAGTCCATGAGGAAGATACAACTACTGGTCTAGTAGGTGAAATAATATTCTCTTTCCCATTTCTTTATCCCTACGGCAAACAATAATGAATAGATCAATTAGCACTTTAGATATTAAAATAGTTACAAACTTACAGTAGTATTTGAAAATGACAAGCAAGGAATAAAGGTTAAAAACACATCTTAGTATTAAGATTATCCTTCTCATTCTTTTATGTGTGATATACGTAAAAGAGGTGAGTGATGATTAGTAATGAAGGATTTAAATAATGTCACGTGACACTATTTTGATAGTAAAAGAGTTTTGTTAATGGGTAATGGCGACATATATGATCCAAAATAGTAACGTTAGTGGTATTATGTTTATGTCTAATCAGTGATAGATCAGAATTTTACTAAGGAGGTTCAAAAGAAAAAAAAGTAAACATAAAAAAAACTAAGAGAAATATACAACATCTATCGTATATACATATATATAAAATATGACTCCCTAAATAATACTAAAAGAATTGATACTAAACATCCTTGTGTTCAATTATCAACAAGTGACATAGATAAGTCATTTTGTTTACTTCGATGATATATTTAAACTTTTTCTTTAAGTAAAATCAGTTACCTGAAACATAAAAATTTTATTATAACAAATTAAATTTTGTTAATAGTATAAAAAATATATTCTACTATCAAAATATATATGTAAATTAAACCTGAAACTTTCACTCTCCATTGACAATTCTACTTTATTGCCCTAAAGGGCCAAAAAATCACTTTAAGTTGTAGGAATTATTAGTTTAATCAGCTCATTATTTTTTGTTTACATTTTGATAGTCATATGGAAAAAGAATGTAGATTTTCTCCAATTTGTTGTTATTATAATAATGTATACATATGCATCTATATTCGGAGAAACTAAGCAAATAACCAAAAAAGTAAAATAATTATAAATATATACCTCTTTACATTTATACTCCATTAAATAATTGCATTATATATCTCCAATTAATTTCGCTTAACTGGTAGTATTATACATTATATTAATATCATTAAAACTGATAATTTCACTTAATTGATACTAAATCATTTAT